GTGGGGGGGGGGGCACAGCATCTTCACCTTGTTTCGGAAGGTTTGAAAAATCACAGCTGCAGATAAAAACTGATTTTTATTCTCTTTTTTATTCAGTTTATATTTTTCATCTGTTTAGTTATTCAGCGTTTCACACACACACACACACACACACACACACACATTCCCTTTAATTAACACAATTTAAATCCTGTAACCCAGAAGTTTTAAAACATTAATTGTCAGTAAACGACAGAAAACTGATCGTCTTTAGAAACAAGAAGAAATAAACAGATAGAAACAGAAATAGAAGAATGATAGAAAATAAAAACAGCAACAAATATTTAACTGATAAAACATCTGGACAGACGAGAGGAGGGTTTTAGTTTTTAATGTGGATTTATTTTAAATGAGATAAAACGAGGATAAAAATAATTCAACTCTGAGTCTCTCTCTCTGATTTTTCAGATCTGTTGGTCGCACAAAAAAAAACCATCTGTCTACGTCGTCTGGACAGAAACTGACAGTTTCACTGTTTCTGAAATGTTCTGGAAAGAAAGAAAAATGAATTAATGAAGGAAACGGTTTAATTAGTCAGAGACAGAGACCGAGGACCTCAGGTCACATGGAGACAAAGGAGACACCGCTGTGCTTCAGTGTGTTTGACCATCGCTGCAACACAACATCTGTCAAACTAACACAAATCAAACCTCTGACGATCAAGAGAGAAACACCAAGATCTGATGATCTTCACAGTTTAACTCAAACTGAGCAGCTGAAGAATCATCAGATTCATCCACACAGAAATAATTATTAGTTAGATAGATAATTAGAGTTCATATTTTATTTGTATGTGATATTAAATTATAAACAACAGATTAAATGTACATTTACTCTTACGCTTGTGTTTCACTGTTTCCATCTTACATTTATTCTTCGGATTAAAATACAAACTAAAACCAACAGATACATGATGATGTATAATTATAATTTAATCTTCTCTGCAGTCAAGATCCAAATCTAATTAATCTAATTAATAATAATCTAATAACATGGTATATATAATCTGAACTGAGTCAGTGAGAATCTTCTATCTGTGAGTTCAGCTGCTGCTTTACCTCAGGATCCACTGATCCATGAGCACAGACCGACCTCAGGTCAAGACCAGGAGCCAGACCAGGAGCCAGACCAGCAACCCGACCAGCAACCAGACCAGGAGCCAGACCAGGAACCAGACCAGGAGCCAGACCAGCAACCCGACCAGTAACCAGACCAGCAACCAGACCAGCAACCAGACCAGCAACCAGACCAGGAACCAGACCAGCAACCAGACCAGGAACCAGACCAGGAGCCAGACCAGGAGCCAGACCAGCAACCAGACCAGCAACCAGACCAGCAGCCAGACCAGCAACCAGACCAGCAACCAGACCAGCAACCAGACCAGCAACCAGACCAGGAGCCAGACCAGGAACCAGACCAGGAGCCAGACCAGGAGCCAGACCAGCAACCAGACCAGCAACCAGACCAGCAACCAGACCAGGAACCAGACCAGGAGCCAGACCAGGAGCCAGACCAGCAACCAGACCAGCAACCAGACCAGCAGCCAGACCAGCAACCAGACCAGCAACCAGACCAGCAACCAGACCAGCAACCAGACCAGGAGCTGGATCACAGAGACTTTGACTCTGAGATAAAACAGACTTCAGACTGAGTCTGAATTCATCTGCTACTCAAACACTTCAGTTCTGGACTGTCTTAAATCAGACTGTGGTGCAATGAATTCTGGGTAAATTTAGACTTTTTTACACAACAACAAAAATGGCCGACAGAGGAGCCAAATCCAACCACTGAGCTCAGTTCCCTCAGAGAACATGTTTGTCTTCAGGAAGAATTTAAAAAGAAAAAATGGCCGCCGTCTGTAAAAACTCTTTCTCTTCTCTTTGCTCAAACTATGAGCCGTGTCTTCCTGTTTCTTGTTGGTGGATGCTGCTTGTTGGTGTCATTGATTGTTACCATGGTAACATTGGTCTTAGACATAGTCAGTCTGCAGGTGTCTGATGTTTCTGTCTTAATGAGTCAGTCTTTATTTTATATCAACACTCAGACCGGTCCAACAGATCGCTGTGGAACCAGGAGGCCTGAGTGACTCTGGGTGGACTGTACAGGTGTACAGGTGTACAGGTGTACAGGTGTACAGGTGTTCAGGTGTTCAGGTGTACAGGTGTTCAGGTCTACAGGTCTACAGTTGTACAGGTGTACAGGTGTACAGGTGTACAGGGCTACAGGGCTACAGGTGTACAGGTGTACAGGTGTACAGGGCTACAGGTGTACAGGTGTACAGGTGTTCAGGTGTACAGGTGTACAGGTCTACAGTTGTACAGGTCTACAGGTGTACAGGTGTACAGGTGTACAGGTGTACAGGTGTACAGGTGTACAGGTCTACAGGTGTACAGGTGTACAGGTCTACAGGTCTACAGTTGTACAGGTCTACAGGTCTACAGTTGTACAGGTCTACAGTTGTACAGGTCTACAGGTGTACAGGTCTA